ACAATTACTATGTAGAAAGTCAATTTTTGGAAAAGTGTGCTAAGATTTTAAGAAAACTATGAACAGTTCAATAAATAATGCATTAAATGACTGATTTTGCAGTATTTATCACAGTATTTATTCTGCGTGACTAACGCAGTAAGGGCTATTTTGCACATTCCTATCTATTTTGGATATTATTCGTGTATTTTTATTGCAATGGGTAAATAACCTTCTTTGATCGTATGACAATATTTTACTTTTGTATACCTTATAAAATATTTCATGAAAATTAACATGAACCTGGAGGCATGATTTGTCACATCAAATAAGGATACTTACAATGAGTGCAATGTTCTGTGTGTGATATCCCTAGTAAAAGTATTAACGATCATTAGATAGAAAAAGATAATGTCATTTTGCCAAAGGCAGTTAAAGATGTAGTGGCAAGTGGCTTTGTGCTGCGAAAGTTCAAATTGTAAAACACTCTCTGTCTCGAGATGTACTTTTCGTGAATTGCTAGGGGGAAGTCGTGTATTAACAAAGACAAATTATGGTTTTATAAAATGTCTATTGTATAATCACAATTTTGGAAGCATTTTAAAATTAATTGCGACATACTTTATGATACGCGTTTCTCATACTTTTTGTTGGGAGCCTTGCTGGTTATATTACCGATAGCTTCGTATGGAAATATGATGTATGACCTTGCTTTATACTTATAGTTTGATAAAAGTTAGTTTAAAATTTATATCCAATATATATATAATGAATAAACACCCTAATTTATTTTCTCAAAATCGCATTATTTCAAAGCTGCTACCTGTCCAATAATTGAATGTTTTTGCTCACATATGACATATAGTTGTTCAGTTTTAAGTTTGTCACGTAGTCATGTTCTACCTTTTTTGCAATTTTACAAGTCAAGTAAATGCAGGCCAATTTCATTGATACATTAGATGTTTTTTTTAATTATTACACTACTTTACGGAATACATGTGTGACAAGAGTACGTTTCCTGGTATCGTTCCTGTACTGATCACAGCTGCTCTTAACTCTTTCAAACATCTTTACTGGCGATAAAAAGCAAAACGTAAGAAGATAATGCATTTTTTATTCTGTACTGCAAATGATATGACCTACATTTCTATGTTCAATGCCATGAGCATCAAATGCTGAAATGAAACAACAAAATATATCAAACGAAACACAAGGCAACGTCATAAATGCAAAATTGATTTGCGCAGTATTCAAATGTCATTAATCTTTTCACCATGTCTAAATATGAAGAATAAATGAGAAAAACATGAATATCAATGGAGGATGAGAAAGTTCATAACAAGCACAATGAATGGCACATTTCATATCCGACTTCGAAAGTTAATATAGACATTACTAATATAAATGAAAAAAAAACCCATGGCATCTTATTATGTTTTAAATTGACAGTTCATACATCTCTTCCGGAACAGTACATAATGTAATAGAAGTTAGTCTCGCGTATGATCAAAGTGATACATAAATTGGTTTACGTTCCCTTAGCCTAGATGTGATTTCTCTGGACAATTGTATGGTTAATTGTATTGTATTTATGTATGTAAAAGTACATTGTTATTGTCATAACAAAGGGAAATAATTCACAGAAACAAAGATACATATTGAAGATCCATATCTATTGGAGAATGGGAGTAATGACCATGGCTAACATAACTTTAAGAATGAATTAAAAATTATATTATTATAACTTATCTAATAATGAAATAGAAAGAAGAAAGCCATGGGAACAGATGCTTACTCCGTTCCTTTCAAATAACAGTTACAACAAAAAGGCTGGTGTCGAATACTGAAAAGCGCCACATGGCTGGAGTGGACTGCGATGGAATTCAGCCATATCGCCAGCTTAGTTTTATTCATAGAAAACATTTATAATGATTCATAAACTTTTCCTCACAATGCATCAATGACAATTTAAGGACACCTTCACCATAAAAATGTTAACAAATAAACATAAACAAGTTAACGAATAAACATTCGTTAATGCAATTCCGATTGGTTTTGATTTGCTGACAAAACAAGTTAGGCTTTATTGAACATTACTACCCTTGTGTAGTCATTCTACTTTTACAAAAATAAATTTTACATTATACTTCTACTGATGACTAAAAGAAAAACAATAACGAGATCATATCTAATTGAGAAATAAGAGATATCAAGATGGTAAAGAGACATATTTCTATGATCAGTATCCGATAATGGTTGACATTACAAGGTTAACAAAGCAGAAAGACAATCATGATCAGAAATTGATGCCATATGTCTGCAATATATAATGTGATCCAAATGATATAATTATTTTCGTAGTCAAGGTATCAAGGAAACAAATTTTCAATTCAAAAAACTTAAATCATGTGTATAAGTTAAACAATTAAACAATTACGCTTTATCTGAGAGTGTCCGTAAGTTTATTTCTTCTACGTTTGGGAATATTAACAAGAGTCATTTTGAAAGTGTAGGTAAGGGATGTTTTTGTTGGGTTGTATGTCGTCGCATCAGTACTGTTAGATGACTTTCAGCTGTATTGGTAGGGTAAAACACGTCCATGCATTATTCAAACATTAGAAGGCAGAAGGCACCTGTGTTGAACTACTGTCATATTCTAAATGATCATAAAAGATCATACAACAGACATTTCAGAACATTATGATTATAGCAAATACTTGGTAAAAAAACTTTTTAAAATATTGATTAAGAGTGACAATTACATTTAAATTATTATGTAATCTTGGAAATAAATATGTAATCGTAATACAAAATATTCTTGTTTCTTTGTTTAAATATTTCATATGTACCGGTTTTTTGTTGTAGTTGCTTTTTTATCAAAATGTACTAACAATATCACCTTTATTGTGTGTAATCAAATGGCAGTCTGTAGTAGATTGTTTCCATGTACTTAACAACTTCGCAATTTGTTTTATTCAGTGTATTAGATGTCAGAACCTTTCAACCTTTTTTTGCACACTATAGAATGTGCTAATTCATTATCATGATATCCTCTTTCTATAAAGTTTAGGTCAAAGTTTACAATAAGACATGAATGCACATATTTTGTTGATTCCATATAATATGCACAACATTTTGCAGTACATGTTTTACATGTTCTTCGATGTTTGAAAATTGTTTTATTTTGCATAATTATGTACATATATATAATTTCACTTAGTGTGGTTTACCATTTTGATCAAAACATACATGATCGTTAAACTAATCGTCTGATTATGAATATGGACATATATTTTCACTAATAAAAGTTAAGAGTCTAGAGATTTTATAAACCATTCATTCAAAACATATATTTTGCCATCAATGACTTAATTTTACATAAAATTTGCGTAAAAGGTATGCCAAAATAACACAGTTATCAATATATATATCATTGCAATCTGCAGAAACCTCTTGGTATGTTTGAAGTTTCTTTCAAACATTCAATCTATAAATTCGCAAAGCCCAATCGTCTCACAAAATGAGGATATAGATCACTAAACTTTCCAAATTTCAAAATTCTTCATGCAAATCTTTCTTTAAAGAACACTTAAAACATACCATGCACACGTATTTATGTCACGAAGTAAACCATAGAATTTGATGTTTTTAACTGGCATTTAAATTCAGTCGAGAGGTTTAATTAGTGTTTTAAGTTATTTAAGCATTTTAGTAAATTCACAATAAATGCAAGCGTGTAATAGTTCTATAAAAATATATTATTATTTAATATATAACAAACAACAACAACAAAAAAATAAACAAACCTAAAATAAAGTGAAAGAAGTGATTTCCTTTAAGTTCTTATTAGCATGCCACATTATCAGTACATAGACTCATATGTCCTGATTATGTTAACATTTCATTTCTTTAATTTGACTTTAATTTCAAACAAGTTTGAAATGAAACAAAATCTTTTAGAAAAAAATGCAGCATAATATGTTATATCAGTTCAGTCTCCTTAAAATAATGTTGAACATTTCATGTTTCGACAATGTGTGGTAAGCTTATAGCATTTTATATACTGTCATAAACCGCAGACATCTTAAGCATACTTTACTCGAGACAGAAAAGTGAAATAAATGTGTATCAAAATTTCAATTTGTCTTAGTTAAAGCAAACTCAAATACTAAATAAGCTCTTAGCAGCAGATCAAGGACTTGATAGAGACACATATATCTTTATTATCCTAAACCAGAAACCAGTTGGTAAGTTAACCCGTACGCCATTAAGATACGACAAATATGTAAAGTATAATTTTATTGTTTTACAACAATTTACGAATTTACTCCAAAATGAAAGACGCATTCGGAACATATGGTCGACTATTAATAGTCATCTCGGAAATAATACGGATTGAGATCAGTTCTACCACGTGACCTTTGATGTACGAAAACAGAAACTAAGTTTACTTCGTTTTAATACATCATCTTTCATATACAGTTTAATATTTTGTGTTTTATAAAGAAAACCGTTTTGAAACTTCTCTTTTGTAAGTTCAAGATATGGCTAAGTTTATAATAAACATAATCTAATCAATGAAATAGCTTGAAAGACATTCATTTTTTACTGAATAAATATTGATGTTTGTAAATTTACTTGGCAATAAAAATACCAGTTGTAATCTGCTGCAAATAATCTTCTGTACATCGTTTTCCGCGCCTCCCGCTAAATGGGTAACAGGTTACACACTCAAATGAAAATCAGGGGCGTTCTCGTTAATTGGGTTCGATTAAATTACTTTGGTATGTATTTTGTACTTTCGGTTTCAACAACCATTATAAATCAGTATATAAATGATGAACTGTTTACAGTCATATCTGTAAATTAACTTTATTTTAGGTTGGCTTTAACTCGATATATATTGGTATAAATCAAGTCTTTAACTTCAAGCATTAATTACAATTTGTTAACTTGTTAAGTTTTTTAGCGTACGTAAGACCGAAATACCGTATCTGCACTATGTTCTTACTATTATTTTTTAAGCTCTTATCCGCAGTTTGACGGAAAGGACCGAGAAGATGCGATTGCTGAAGACCGTAAAATGATATATGATATTACCAATAAGAAATACGATAGTTTTAAACCTCTACCTGTTTGTAAACGGGTTTAACACTGGGACGAATTGACGTGGAACGGGTAAGTCACTATTTTCAACCATTTTGATATAACATTTGACATTAGCATTGATTTATCAAAAATTTTCGGACGAAAATATTGAAGTTATTGACAGATAATCTCCGTTTTATCAACTCACATATATTATATCAAATTTGCTATCGGAAATTAAAATGGTATTTTACCTGTCAAGTATCAACTCATGTAAAATTTACTCTTCGGTGTATTGACATATAATAGTTAAAGTATATGAAGCGAGTTAGTTACGAGGATATAACACTGGCTGGGGCGATATCAAGGGATGTTTCTGCTACAAAATGGCGAGGCCAACAGGTCGAGACAATTTTTTGCAGAAACATCCCGAGATGTCTCCCCAGCCTGTGTTATATCCTCGTAACTAACGAGTTTCATATACTTTAACTGTTTTATCGCAATAACATAATGTTTTCCTTTTTTGTAACAGAAATAAATAGATAAATAAATAAATAAAATAAATAGATAAAATAAATAAATAAATAAATATTAAATAAATAAATTAATTAATCGTTAGCTACATTACAACTATTTATTATAAGGCAGTTTTTTCAAGTTTTTTTTCGCTGCCGCGAAAAAAAAACGATATACAAAAGACATCCAATGTTAGAGGCGGATTGTAAACTGTTACCAATGTTGATTCAAGATTAAAGGGCTTTTTCATTGGAAATAATTCATTCAGCGAATGTACATTTTGATTAAATGAGGGTAAATTTCATTTCATTAATTATCTTTGTTTATATTTTCCATTTATTTATTTTCTTTTTTTTTTTGCTACTGGAATGTTCGTTACCCCTGCCCCATTGGAGCCTCTGGATAAAACCTTCACTGATATATACAAGGTGCTAAAAAACTCAACCGCAGTCGAGTTTTTTCCTATATGAATCAATGAAAAAACTGAAATGTTATATATCAATACAATTTTCAAATGCTCATTTAACTGTACTGAGTATAATGGGTTAGTAAGAACAAAGAAAGCGTTCGAAACCATGCGATAATATCACCATAACAGTGTATTCGGTTTAAGTATTTATTATTCACCTACACTTGTTAAAAATGATGTAAAATTAAATTTCTAAGGAAATAAAAAGGACAGAACAATAAAATTTGTATCCATGGATAAATTAAATCAAATATAATGTAATGTAATATAATAATGTAATATATGGCATATTGCACTTGAATGCTATATCAACGTTAAATATACTCTTTGCGTTAGTACAAAGTATATCTCAAATTCAATCAGAATTTTAAATTTGTACATTTGTATAAACATGTGGTAATAGAGACATGGTTTATACTACCTATGATTGTCCATTTCGTCATCTCAACATTTTCATATAATTTGTTTTGTCTTGTTTTAGCTAAAATGGGTACATCACTAAGAGGAACATTATTTATTGCCATCATTTCGTCTGTGTTGGCAGCATGTCATGCAGATGTGTGTTGCTTTCCAAGCCAATTTGAAGGTCATATAATTGATATGGAGCCAACTGGAAATCAAAATGAACCATATACTCAGGTATGCAGTGTGGATTTTTGTTGTCAGGTACTAAACTGAAGCAAGTGAAATATTGAAACCTTCAAATTGACACGTCAATTTTTATATCAACATCTTTAATTTCTTCTATTATTGGGTTTTTACTTAAACACTGACTAGCACTTACAGCGTTCAGTAAAAGTATATCATGTCTTATATTGAAACTTTACAGACAGATATTGACGTTTCATTTGACTGGACAAAGAATCGATTAAGACAGTATGTGGCAGCCGAAGATTATCTTCAGTTGCAGTTTTTCGGAAAGGTAATTATTTATTTAAATCACCAACACCAAAAGCTAATTAAAAATGTTATAATTATAAATATGTTTACAGATTATTCTAACAGTTACAATATTTCAATCCAGGGAAAATTACACATAACTTACTGAAAGTTAAGTTAAAGACGTGTTCGTAGTTTTTATTGTATCATAGTTTGGAGACCTTTCTGTTGAAAATATGTCAGGGTTAAATCGTATACATATACATGCACAGTGCGTTAACTGGAGTGCGGGTATTAGTTACCCGCACTCCAGAGCATGCCCATTGATTGGCTCATTTTTGCTGGGGTTTACATATTGTGACGGCAGTGAAAGTGAAATCGACAGAAATGTCATATTTAGATGCTCGTTCATTGGTTCATTTTTGCCGGGGTTTCATATTGTAACAACAGGGAACGTGTTTTTATGTTTGACTATGATACAAAAGAGAAAGAACACCAAAACACTCGGTAATCTGATTAATACTCGGGGGGCTACGCCCCCTCGTACAAATCAGATAACCTCGTGTTTCGGTGCTCTTTCTATTACTTATACCCCTACAAACGAAGTTAAGGGGTGGAGGGTATATAGGAGTCAGATTGTCACTCGGTCCGTCGGTCCACTTCATGGTTTCCGGAAAATGAAGGTTTGGAATACATCATACTTTGTATATAGTGACCTTATGTAGAATACCCGGTTGGTATTACTTTTTGATCCCCTGGAGCCAAGATCATTGTTACTTAAAATACAGATACACAAATGGTTTATGGACAATAGCAAGAGTAAGAAATGAGATATTTTAATCAAACGTACGTCTTATTACCTTAAGTGATAGCTGAAGCGATAGTTGATATTGCCGAAGATTATATAGTCGATACTAGTCATATATGACTTTCAAAGGAACCATTTGAGAAGATTACATATGACAGGGAGTCATATATTTTTAGACCATTTATATCGGGAAATATGTTACGGAGACTGAAGCAAGGTAGGAAAAGACAGAGAGCTGTTTAAATCAAGGGGTCACTCAGGTAGTCTCGACTTATATAGTCATATAACGTACACAATATATTTCATCTATTTTACTTTGACTAATGATAACTAAATAATTTCAATGTTTTTTATGCCAGGGTGTAATGTATACCATCCAAAATTCAACTTGCAAAGTCAGCAAACTGTTTCCTCCTCCGAACGGAACCTTCTGTATTCCAGGTAAATGAAGCAAAGTAATTTTTTATAATAGAAAAATGTGCTCGAGCTCGGTGCTTAACCATTTCCTACATACAATTAGCAGGCACAAATAAGCAAAGCATTATGAGCATTTTCAATATCTTCTATAACATAGCATTATATGCACCATCGAAGCCATGAGCCGATTCATATCATCCACGATAGCACAGAAACTTGAATACGTTTTGCTATATGTGTTATCATTTTGAGCTCACCTGAGCACAACGTGCTTATGGTGAGCTATTGTGATTGCCCACAGTCTGTCGTCCGTCGTCGTGCGTCGTCATCAATATCTTTAAACAACATTGGTGTATAATATAATCTATAGGTCCTCTACAATAGTTGTTTTAAGTTTGCCTCTTTTGTGACACAAATTACAGTATGTCTTCAGGTGAGCGGTTTGGGGATAATGTCTCCCTTATTAAGATACCAAAAATTGTTAAAAAAGTATTTCCTTATTTTGCAAAAAAATCATATGTAAAATGTATGCTGTAGCACTATTTTTATACATCTATTTGATACCAATAAACGCTCATTGGTTACATGTTTAAGATAATAGAGAAGAATATAATGCCCTTAAGAACGCGCAAAACGAAAAAAATGAAAATGTTGCGAGCTCCGTTTGATCGACTCTATTCTTAGTCGGTAGTGATGTATTTCTTCCAACAATTACCTGTAGAATGTCTTGTGTTCAGAGAGAAATAACAATGTATGATTGTTTTGCAGATAACGCAAAACGTATGAAAAGTTACACACTTGGTATAAAAGAGAAGATTAGTGCCATTGATTATTTAATTACCGAGAAGGAAAGTCAAATTCTTCGGACAATATCTGACATGTGTGTACCAGTGGCGGATATTTATTTCCCGTTGGCGTGTAAGCAATATTATACTTGTGGAAGCATTAGTGTGTATTAGTCCAAAATAAATTAAATCATTACAAATAATTTATGATTGAATTTGCTTTATAAGATGTGACTCTTATTTTATGATTATATTTATTTTACCTGAAAAAGTAATAACAATCCAAAGAAATGTTTACCTCTTTATTTGACATTTTATTTACGTTATAAAACTGAAGAGGAGAAAAAAATTATTTCGAAATAAAGAAATGCATCCCATTAACAGAAACGTTTCTTTTAGGATAATATATTGCATATTTCACAATTATATTTTCTAGTTTGCTAAGTAAACATCAATATAATTTCAAATTTTAGTTTTTAGTTTACAAGAATTATCTTACAAAGTTTCATACGCATCTTGATCTTAAATATGTTGCATTCCTTCCAGCAAACGACTTTTCAACTATAATTACCTATCAGAATCTGACCTCTGGAATTAAAGACGAAAAGGTGTTTGATGTACCGAGTTTTTGCAAATCAAATGAGAAGAAGGTAAACATTATAAGATTTTTACATTGTTCAGTACAATATTGAATTTTTGGTCGAGTACACAACTTTCAAAACTTATGGACGAAGCGCTAGTCGAGTCTTTAATCGGTTTTGCGGATGAATACGAGTAAAAAGATAGTATTGTTCTGACCCCTTTTCCACACTACCATTTTTAACATTTTAAAAGAACTTTGAAACTTTATGCACAATAATATATGAAAATGAAAAATGAATACGGGGATGTAATTTGAAATGCAATAAAATGTTAGGATTGTGGAAATTCAAACGGGTCTAAATTTATAAGATTTGATCCAATGGAACATAACTTGGTGTTAACGTAGACAATTCATTGGTTATATTTTATAATTAAATATATATTCAAAAGCATCGTGATGTTTCAGTAAATTAAATAAACATTAAACCGTTTAACGTTGTCACATATTCTAAATGATCATCTGAAGGGAGATCTTATGACTAAAACCCAATTTAAAACGACGGTGTCATGCATTTAAAGGGCAAACCACCAATGTTGCTTTTTGTGCATTATTTTTCTCTACAAAATTATTGCTTTATAGAAAATGAACAAAATGGCTAAGATTAACAAAAAGCTTTCAAAATATATATTTTTACATGTCCTTACATGTCCTTACATTTAGTAGAAAAGACATGTATATTACCCTTACAGTTTTTAACAAAGATAAACAAAGCATATGATAAGTATCGATTGCATGTTTTTATTTTCTTTTCCTTTTTTTCTTCAGAACATAAGCCCACCGATGATGAAAGCCAGCTATCTTTGGAAAGTCTCTCTTTAAAGCACAATTTTTCACTCTGAATAACCGATGTTTTATATCAGTGTTTTCGAAGAAACTATTGAAAGACCAGTCGCTTATAATCAAAAACAAGATCATACTGTACTGAAAAAAAAACAATGTACACTAGAAGCTATTTGTTTGTATTTGTTACCATTAGTATGTGCCTAACTTAACTTGTATAAAGCTATATATCTAGTCCTGTAGTTTACACAATTTTTGTTTGAAATTTGAATTTTGAAAATGAATGTTTTAAAAATACTTGTATTAAAGATCCTGTAACACATTTTTATGGTTTTATATCATAAATATGATGCTCAAATTAAGATTTATCATATATTGTAGGTTCCAAAAAGCATTATTTATAAAGATATAACCGAATTTAATATTTCATGTAAATAAAGGGAGGTAATAAAAATTTATTTTCTATAAAGTTTAAGTCAAATTGTACTATAAGAAATTAATGAATATATTTTAATGATTACATAATTATAATATGCACAAATATTTGCAATGCATATTTTACATATTTTTCGATGTTTGAAAATTGTTTTGAAGTTGTAATCCAGTATTTAGTGTTTGCTTGTATAAAACCAAATTAAAAAACCTTTTGCATCATAATATTTCTGAAAGATCTGATGTCAATTACTTTAATTTGTTTTTCCCCTTGGTGAATAGATCAGTTTATCATATTTAGTAAATAATAGTGATTGCTGAGAAAATTCAATATTGGGATTGGTGGTCTCTCTGTTTCATCTAACCTAGAAAAGCCGAAATGATCACTTGCACCTTTCTATCCTACGATTATCCTTCATGCTGGCTTGCATGTGCTTGATATATAAGCTATTGTTGTTTTAGTACAGAATAGCTTAACATGTCTACCAACTCTTCCAAATGTTTGTGTCGCCTTGAAAAGACGACATATAGGGGTTACTTTTGTCGGCGTCGGTGTCCCCTAAAGCTTGTCCGAAGCATATCCCAGTCACTATCAGTCGGATTGACTCCAAACTTAGTATGCATGCTTCTTTTAATGACCCAAAGTGCAGTGCACAAGAATCGTTACTCTGCGCTTCTTAAGTTTAGAGTAATTGTCCTTTGTTAATTTTCATACTTAATTTTTAACCGGGCCATTTCTTCTAAATATAAAATAGAGAAATACAGAATAATACAGAAAGCCACTACTCCTAAACTATAATGTAAACTGTATGGACATGAAACTTCATTGGATGATAGATCTCACTGAGAAGAAGTGCAGTGCACAAAAAACGGCACTCTTTACTTCATGAATTTAGAGTTATTTCCCTTTGTTGATTATAATACTTTATTTTTGTCCGAGCCATTTCATCTAAACTATATTAGTCTCAGCCATTTCACCTAAACTATAAAAGCTATGGACTTCAAACTTCAATGAACAGGCTCAATCAAACCGAGCCTGCAACATTTTCAATTTTGCCGTGTTGGGCTTTCTTTAGGGACTCTGTATTTATCTATTTCATAGGATTATAGATCTTATTGAGAAGAAGAGCAGTACACAAGAACCGGTACTCTGCACTTCATGATTTTAGAGTTATTGCCCTTTGATAATTATATTATACTTTAATTTTTGTCCGGGCCGATTCTCCTACACAATAAAAGCTATTCAAGCTACATCAATCCTGATGTAACATTGTTACAATCAATTCAAATGCCACTTAAGTTCAAGGTACATGTACATTATAAGAGTGGTGTTTATAAATATCCTATATTTGAGAAGAATATGTCTAAGTAACAGCTATACTGTTCACAAGTCGACACATCCGACTCGCGGAGTTCTAGTCTGAATATAGGCTAAAATAAAAAATGTATTTGTAAAGTATTCCAAATGCACCTCATATATACGCAGCTTATATGAGATTATATGAATGGCCTCCGTCTGTTGTCCGTAACATTTTAGTGATAACTTCATAATTCATAACATGAAGTTATGTAAAGTTTCGTAAATTACTTGAAAAAATAGTCACCATTATGAGAATTGGATAGCTCAAAACCACATTACGTTTTCCAAGATCAAGGTCAAACATATACTTACAGTTTGGTCAAAGGTTAAAGCATTGTACTAAGGCAGGAGGTACAGCCGTCCTATGACTGCCTTTTTCTACTTCAATTTGATTTACATTCCCAGTACAATGGGACATAGTATATTGTTTGTCTATCATTAACCACTGGTTGTCGTACATATAAATCGAAAGATAAATGTTTAATATTTACATAGTATCATTTATTTGTTTGTATGAGTATCTAAATGTTAGTGTTAGTTTTTGCTCCCTGAACTACCTATCAGTGTGCTGTCAGTGTATAAAATATGATAAACAAGATCAACAAGGAAAGGCGGCGTTCAATGAACGCAACTCCCACCCGACCCAGCAACAAGAGCCAGTGGCAATGAGCCCAGGAGGACCCGAAACAAAATCAGGACAGGGCACAAGGCAGAGCACGGGCAGGCCAACCACTAAAATCAAAAATAATAAGTAACTGATAAGGAACTAAAAGAAAACAATTAAATGATTGAATAATAGGCCCACAAAGTCAAAGGGCACAGGGGAAGGGGACATGAGACCTGGGGAAGGGAGGAGGGGCGGAATAAATTAAATAAAAACTAGGGGCAAAGGGGAAGATACTTACCGAAGACGAAAAAACAACAAGAGAAACAAACGTGTCTCCAAAACAGTATGAAACAACATAAGACATACATCTGAGGAAAACGGAGGGGCACCGCCTTGGAACGGGCAGCAGCACAAGTTCTGCTGGGGAGTTTAAACCGGTTAATGGTGCGCCAAACCTCACTCTGAGCCCCACAATGTTCCTATAAACGAACATGTTCCAATGAAATTGCAATTTCTCAGGTACATAAGGAGTAATGACTCGTCGGACAAATGTCTTTTAAGTAAATCTGATAAAGGCAAATTATTATAGGCAATTCACCCAAAGTTTGTTTAAAATTCTTATAATAATCTGGAGAAGACTGATCCATGGGAAGCATTAATATAAACAAAATAACATGAGAATTGAGTCTGTACATGAGAGATAATAACAAAAAAATGCAACATCCCTCATGCCCCCTAGCACCTGCTTGAGAGGTAGTCTTAAAGTGCTGCATTTTTAATCTAATTCAGCTTTTTTAGGCAATGGCTCTACAACGGAAGTATCGAGGGCTCTCATTTAAACAGATCACCAAACTATTTAATAACATATAGACAACAAGTCATAAATAATAGGTAAATTTAAGCAAAGTGGCATTTTGTCTTTCATACAAAATCATAAACACTTTACTTATAATTGTACTACAAAACCTTCACAACAACAACAGAAAAAAATGATAAAAATGAATGGGGAAACATATATGTATCGTGTTTATTTTCATACATAAAACTGAAATAAAAATAAGCAAGACAGGAATGTTAGAGAAGATTCAGTTCCATGATTTATTGATCATACACATTTTCTTACACCAAAACTCGCCAGGAAACCGGTAGTGGTTAAGAATTATGTAACATGCATTCTATACCACAGCGACTCTACATGACTGTAAGCTTGACCTTAGGTTTATCGTGGTAAGTAATCATGTAGTAGCCACCTGACTGTTGAGTCGTGCCCATCGTGTCATTCTGGTGACTATATTAAAATATTTAAATAAGACACCATGTTGAATTATATACTTCTCAACAGGCGCTAACCAAAACAAGAACAAATGCAAGGCGAGACACGTATTACAATAATACCTATCAGATATAACACCGAGTCCAATCGTTCACTATGTTTCCCAGGCGGAGAACGCATGGAGAGATCAATTTTACAGGTGGAAAACCGATACTGTGGTAAGAAAGTTGTCTTCAATTTCTTTAAAAATGCATATTTCACAAAACTTTATAGCCTATTCTGATCTCGTATGATTACTTTATCCGACAGGCATCTAGATGTTACATTTAGATGTTACATCCTTAACCTTTTCCCTTATATAAGCGTGTTTCGACGGCTTAACTTTTGCCCCCCCCCCCCAACTTTGTTAAAAAAGTGAACACTTTTTCGGCGCCGCCCCCATCCAAATGTTACATCAGGGGGTTGCTTGAGTGGGTTTGAAGGGGGGCGGAGTCCCCCTCATCGCCAAGAAAATTTTGGACATGTGACAGGCTAAAAATGGCCTGAGGTCGATCTTAGGGTAACTAGTAATAGACACTGAAAAGCCTTTTACTCTATCTCAATTCATTGAGAAGTTACAGCACTTTAAAATCAGTTTTGATGGAAAAAAAAACAATGCAAAATAGTGATTTTTGACAATTTTGAGACGTCCGCCCGTTGCCATGGTAACAGGAATTTCACGATTGAGCATGCTGTTACAGAGGCTATGGTGTAGTCAACATTTGTGCCGAGTTTCATCAGTATTGAAGGAAGCATTTTTCATAGTTTCATAGCAGTTTGAACTTGTTACAGGAGGCTTTTCAATGAAAACGGCCATTTTTCGCAATATGCTCATGGGGTAAAAACATACAGGATCTTTAAGCAGGAATATATATATATCAACTTCCTTACAACAAAATGAACATACAAGAAAATGTTGAAATAACACATCATTTTTTAGGTTCATTATAAGTTTTTCTTTTAGAAATAATACACTTTTTATTTTAATGAAGAATAGGCAAAGTATTTATCAAAATGTGTTTCAAATTACCTCCCTTTATTTACAGAACTTTGAATTCGATAATATCTATGTAAGATTTGTAATATTGGTAATAATTTATTTGAGTATCATGTTTATCATATTAGACTATTAAAGTTTTGATGTACAGGGTCTTTAAAAGAGTATACATTCGCTATTATTTGTCATTTGTCCATTGTTGTATTTGTTGTTTAATATTATGCGTGTATGATAGTAATTGTATACAATTATTCAGGATTCATGATTTAATTATCAAAGTACATATTTTGTAAAACAATCACTTACAATGCGTGCAAAAATCAAGGATTTTTCCAAAGTGTCATGTAAGATTATTATATAAATCAGCTAAATGTCGTTCAGTCAACATGACAAGACTTAGTTTATCTCTCCCTTTTAATGTTATTAAACAATATTCATTTGTTTAAGTTATTCAATAAGAGGTTTGTTCATTAAAAAGCTGATAATATGTGTTACAAACGAGGAATGACTTCAATTTCACACGATCTTTCCCCAGAACAGACCTCGTCCTTTTTGCTTATTAGCATATATATATACATACAGCGTACAAAGTATATTTTAATTTGTAAAAAAAAA